AAAAAAAATTGAAAAAAATTTGCATTTTCATCAGAAATGTGAAAATGCTGCAGTTCATTCTGAATCTGCATTGCTGCATCCAGAGCACCCCCTTTCTCTGCACTCCAGACTTCCAAACCCTGTTCAGGCACAGCCTCTAAATTACTGTGGGGTCTGGGGCACCCCTGGCACTCGAAGGGAGGTGGGAAATCCCAGCCCTTCCATGCTGGAGCTCAGGAAGGGGCTGTAAATCTCCCTGTTGCCCTCGGGGGGGAAAGGGGATGGATCAGGCAGGAAAAGGGAAGGGTGAAAAAAAAAAGGAATAAAAAGGCTTTGAGGGGTTTCTCTCACAAAAGCTGAATGTGGGAATGGAGGGAGGGGCCTGGGTGGTTCGGGGTCACTGGCCAAGGCTTAACCCTTCGCAGCACCAGCTTTGCAAAGGCGGGCGGTGGCTCTGAGCCCCCAGATGTGTGATGTGTGGGATGCTTTGGAGAGCGGCCCCCAGGCTTTGAGGGGTTAACCTCCAACTTCTGGCGAAAGAAGGAAAAAAGGAAGGAAATCCCCTCTGTCCCCTGCCTTTGATTCTGGACCCCACTCAGCCGGCAGCCGGGGCGCTGCCTCTCTCAGTCCCTCCTCGGAGGCAGCTAAAATGGTTTCCAGCCCCGCTGGGGCAGCAACAGGAGCTTCCCCAGCACAAAATTCAGGCGCAGGCTGGTTCCCAAGCTGGTTTCTGCCCGGGGATGGATGGTACCAGCCTTGGAGCCCCGGGGCACCATCCTGGGGCTTCCCAGAGGTGCTGATGCATCCTGGCAAAATTCCCCTCGGCACACGCAGTGGGCAAGCTGTGGCACCTGGAAAACGTTATCCCAAAGCTCTCCTGAAGGCCAGAGGAGCCCGAACTCCTTGTGGGGCTGATATCCATGGAAAGAAACACGATCTGCATGGGGACACCAGCAGGTTGGTGTCGGGAAGAGCCGCAGATTCCTTCGGGAGCACAGCAGCCCTCGGGGCATCTCCTGCAAGCCTCGAGGGGACCTGCCCTCCACTGGACCGCTCCATCCCTGTTCTCCACGCCGAAAGCATCGCTGATCTTCCTCCCTCTCCTGGGTGCCGGAGGATGTTTAGGACCCGGGCGGTGCAGCTCCTCCCTTTCAGGTCTCTCCAGGGTTATTGCTTGGTGGGAGGTAGGTTCAGGGCTTGGTGGTATGAATGAAAGAGAGAGAGGAAATCGGCGCTGAAAAGCTCAAACTGGAATAGCTCGCCTGTCTCCAGGCAACAGCCCTGACGCAACGGCTGGGAAAAAAAAAAAAAAAAAAAAAAAAAAAACCAAAAAAAAAAAAAAAAAAAAAAAAAAAAAAACCAACAACAAACCAACCACCACACGCACAGATTTCTGAAGCGAGACACAGAGCAGGAGGATGAGACAGACTCCGGGAGGCACTGGTGACACCGCTCTGCGAACACCAAGTTGGGGACCCGAGGTGGAAGGAGGGAGCCCAGATGTCCGTGCAATCCCCGCTCTGATTCCAGCCCCGGTGAGTTTGTTTCTGGTGGTGGACTGGGGGGACAGAGCCACCCTGGGGACACCCGGCACGGGAGATGCCGGAGAGCTGCCCGGGGCTGGAGGGGACCCCGGCAAGGAGCTGGGGAGCAGCAGACAGGGGTGATGGGGACCCCAGCGAGCAGCACCGGGGTCTGGCGAGCTGGCTCTGCCGTGGCGGGGCTGGGGTTTGCACAGTGTCCCCCCAGCCGCAATCTCCTGCCTCGCCGACATTCCCTGGAAATGACCGCCACGGTGGCTCCCCATTGATCGGGAATGTCTGAATCCTCCTTTCCCATGATGTTTGTGGATTTTGCTCTCAGCCGGGAGCAGCGTGGAGCTTTTCACCCGCTCCAGGAGGATTTTCCCGCACAGGGTGAGATGTAACGGGGGAGAGGCTGCCCGGCTTTCGGGACAGTCACCTGTTGCTCCCTCTGCCCCCAGCCTGAGATGTGCAGGAGCCCTGGAAACCTTTCCAAACCTGGAAAGGTTTGTGGGGTTGTGCAGTGCAGACATGGTGGGATGAGCGTGGTGGCTTCGCAGGGCGTATCTACCTCGGGTTTTTGAACCAGGCACCGTGTGCTGAGCAGAGCAGGTTTCCACCTGCTCACGTCTGGCCCTCGCAGCTCACGTTTACACCGAGGAGAGGGGGGAAAAAAACCCAGGCAGAACTTCTTCAGAGCCCTTTATAACAGCTTGCGGCTAATTGTTAAAATAATAGCGCCAGCCCAGCACGAGTGTTTGTGCAAGCCCAGCCCCAGCGCCCCGGGGTGCTGCACACCAGGCAGCATCCCCATCCCACAGCCCGGACCGCTGACACCTCTCCCACCACGGGCACCTCTCCAAGGAACCCCCATCCCTGTTTTCCTGCAATGCACCCCCCGTTTTTCCACCATCCTGCGCCCTCCGGAGCTTCTCTACATCGGAGACCTCAGCGGAGGCGGGGGGAGGTGGGGATGGATGAAAACCAAGTTCCTGGCTTCCAGCGAGGAGCTGTGCCCAGCTGATTCCTCCGGCTTTGTCTGCTCGTCCCCGGGATCCGAGGAACTCCCCACTTTCCAGCGGGAACGAGCCTGTTTTGGCTGCTGTGGGTTTGCTCTGTGCCAGCCATCATTTCAGCACACGGGAGCTGCTGCTGGTTTTTGCATCCCGGCTTTTCTCTGCTTTCAAATGCCCATTAAATTCCCCCCATCCTTCATGGGGGGCTTGGTGGGGGGGAATCTGTTCACCACAAAAATCCACCAGGACGGGAAGAATCCGGCTTCTGCCGGGCTCTGGGCTTGCAGCAGCCCTGCAGCCATTAGGTGTTTGCAAAATGTAGCAGAGACACTGCAGGGAAAAAGAAAAAAAAAAATTAAAAATAATCAGCCTCAGAGCAGCGTAGCCCTTCTGGGGGGAGGGAGAGGAGGGTCTGTTTGCAACCGGCTGATCTTAAATGATATTAAATCCCACAGTGCAGCTCAGCACTGGGAGAAGACAGGTCTGAGGACAGAGGCTGGACGATCATGGTTTGGATAATTGGATGGGACAGGGGGCATGTAAAGGGGATTAGGGGGTCACCGAGGGGCTGACCCCACTCCCCTGATCATGTTAACTTGGAGCCTGGGGGTCTCCAGTGGGAGCTGGCTCTGGCGTTGTCCCTGCAGGGGCTGAGCTCAGTGCTGGGCAGATTGGAGCTCGACAAAACAAAACAAAAAGGTTAGGTTGTTTTTATCTTTCTGAAAACACACCCTTGCATGCTGCATTTGGGGAAAAAAATAGCTCCCCGTACTAATCTCCTGGGAAGAGAGCATTTCTCAGCCTGCCCTGGCTCATTCCCAAGGAATCCCAGCCCTTTTCATTACCCTGGGCACACAGGCACAGAGGTCTCCCTGCCGAAATGCGGCCGTGCCTGGAAGTGGCAGTAGGGGAAAAGGGGGAACAACCAGCTGTGCCATGCCACAGGTCCTCTGGGGGCATCTCTGGGAACAGGTTAGCTGTGCCACCCCTGAGATGAGCTCCAAAACCTGCTGGCAGCCTGGGGCAGTGCATGGAGAAGAAACCCTTGCACAAAATCCGTGACTCCACAGAGCTCAGAACACACCAAAGGTGGACATAGTGACTTCACCAAGAGCCTGAAAACTTGCCTTTGCTTCTGCTCCTTAATCCTTTCCCTCCTAAAAGGAATCCTGCCTGGTTTGGGCTCATGGGTTGAAAGCATTGACCCCCGTTCATCTCCCCAGTTTGCAGCTACTTCCAGCTGACTGGAAGACTGGTTTGCTGGAATGCCAAATACTTCTTCATGCAGGATTTCCACACAAAGCCTGGAAATCTGCTGATCGAGGAGAGCCTAAGTGGTCTGAAAATGGAGCTGCAAGGCTCCATCCGAAGCAGGCAGCAGCCTCAGCCCTGCTCCCGGCTAGAAGCTGTGTGGAGGACGCAGGAGGGATGAGGTGCAGTCAGGCAGGAAGGTGCAGATGTGTTTACTGAAACAGGCTCTGACTCTGCCGCTGATGCTGGAAATCAGCCAGGGAGAAGTGCCTTGGGGCAGGGAGTGCAAACTGGTCCCCTCTAATCTCACAGACACAGAATGGTTTGGGCTGGGAGGGAGGTGCCTTCCATAAAACTCACCCACCTCCTGATATGGACAGGGACACCTTCCACCATCCCAGGTTGCTCCAAGCCCTGTCCAACCTGGCCTTGGACACTGCCAGGGCTGGGGCAGCCACCTCTGCATCCCTCCACTCCTCTGATGGATTCTCTGCAGCCCCCACTGCCCTCCCCTCTTCCCTTGCAGTGTTCAGAGCTCTTTCTGGAGGCCATTTGGGCAGAAGGGAGTGCTGGAGCAAACTCTCATCTTGTTCCAGGTGATATGTGAATGGAAAGCCCCTCTTTTTCCCTTTTCCCTGTTTTTCTGTGAATGTCATGTCCACATCTATGCCTAGTGCCCATTTTGGTCTCATCACTGCTGCCATTTTTCCATGGAGAAAGGAACAAGCTCACAGACAGGAGTGTGGCCAGAAGGTCTCCATGGGCAGCGTGTTCAGTGTCACTGAGGGCTCTGCCATGACCCCTCCAGCATGGGCAGAGCCCTTTCCATCCTGTCCCAACCATCCCGAGCAGGCAGAGAGCATCTGACCCTGACAGGATCAATTCCAGCCCTGGAGTGTGTCCTGACTCCTTGGGATCAGACAGCTCTGCCTGGTGCTGGAATTTTGTCCTTTTGAAAGGAGGGAAGCTGAAGGTCATTTTGGGACCAGGCTGATTTTCTGCAGGAGAGGATTTCAGCTGCTACAGAAAAGGATTGGGTGGGTAAACACTGAATAATAAAATCCAGGGAAACCAGCTCTCCTCAGGGTCTATGGGGTGGCCGGGGATTTGTTCTCCACCTCTGCAGGATCCCTGTACAGAGCCAGCAGGATGAGGGGCTCTGGCAGGGTGAGGGACCCCCAGCTCACCAAATCCACACAGCACAGCAGCTCCTCTCCTGTCAGAGCTCATTCTGGCACGGGGAAAGGAATGAGTGATGTGCAACCAGTTCCAGGGAGCTGCAGTGTTCATCCTGATGGGTCTCTCCTTCCCTCACCCCACTCCTGAGGCCTCGGAGTCTCTGCTGCCCTGAGGATGCTCCGGAACATACATCCAGAGACCTCTGCGAGCAGCCAGAGTCCTCCCTTACTCCATTGCTATGGCAACCCTTTCTCACAGACATCTCCTCCTCTCTGCCCCTCTCCCAACCTGCAGCAGACACCCAGAGGGGGTCAGAGACCTCCAGGGGGGTCAGTCACCCCCACCCCATCCCTGTGGCAATGCTGTGCAAGGAGGGGGGCAAGCACAGCTCTCCCTGCACACCAGGCACTGTCCCACACCTCTCACTCCTCCTTGGTGTTCCTTCATCCCACCTTTCCAGGCTCAGGGTCCTCCTCTGCTGCTGGGAGCTGCAGAGCTGGATGGTGATGTTGGCAGGTTGGATTTGCTCCAGGAATTTCCTCTGTAGGACCGGGGGGTATCTGGGTGGCCCAGGGCAATCCCTGTGCAAACCTCAGAGCAAATGATCAGGGGAACCCCATCCCAAACTCCTGGATCATGGGGGGTGTCACTGCACCCACTGGAGTGTGAGCACGAGCACTCAGATGAGACCTGGAAACACCAGAGGTGAATCCTGTACATCTCTAAAAATCCCCAGAGGATTTTCCCCGAAGGCCAGTTCAGTCCCTGAACTCTCAATCAGAGGGAAACTGAGGCACAAAGGGGCTGAGATGCTATTTGAAGGTCATTCTCATCCTGAAGCATTGCCTCTGCCCTGTTTGCTCCATGAAGTGACATCTGTGGTCTGTGTGGGCAAAAGGGCTTCTGTCAGCTGAGGTTTTGTCTTATATTGAGGCTTTTTTGTCTTCCCAGCCTCCAGAGGAGCAGAATTCCTCTAACACAGACTCCTGCAGTCACTGCTGCTCCTCTGCAATAAAAAATGGTGTTACAAGAATCCACAGTCCACCAGGAATAGTGAAGGAAGAAGAATAATTTGCTCCCCACAGCTTCTCCTTGGCTAATTGTCGAACTCCCAGTCTAACATTCCTATTATTTCTCTGTCCCAGGCTTGTGCCTCTGCTGATCCCTTGGGGTAGGTCAGTTGACTTCTCCAGTGGAAACCTAACACAAGAAAGAAATTAAAGGGGTTTTTTGTTGTTGTCTCAGTGACCTGTTGTGTTCTGTGCTTTCAGGATTCATGGAAGGGAAGGGGGGAACCCCTGACCAGAGGCTCTCAGTGAGGTGTGAGCAAACCCTCACCCTGTTTCGGGTCTGAACTCGTTACCCCTAATGAGAAGTGTCACAAACTCCCTGTGGCAGGTGTGATAATGAGACAAATCAAGGATTAATCACTTAAATCCCCTTGCACAGGCTAGCCCAGGGGAGCCAAGCCTGGGGCAGGGAGACTGGGAGGTTGTGGATTTGAGCCAGAGGCAGGTTTGTGCCTGGGAATTTGGTAACTCTCAGGCACCAAAGGGTTTGTGTTACAGCACAAGGGCATTTTTCACACGCTTACAACTTTCAGATCTCTTTCTTCACAGCAGGTGTTTGATCCAAATCCAAGATATTGATAGGAAATTAGAGGTGGCTCCCTCCTGTCACTTTGGAGTCTGGACAGGCTGGGGAATGCTGCCAGTTTAGGGGGTGTCCCTGCAGAGGGAATGAGGCGTTTCATGTCACGCCAGAGAGAAAGTGAAGGATGGGCTGAATCAATGCTGCTTTCAGGGTAGAAAAACCAAATCTCCTCCAAAGCTGATGGGAGTTGTGGTGACAGGGAGGGGGAGATGTCAGCAGGGTTGTGACAAAGGGGATGCTCCAAGCTGCTGTGCTGTTTTCATGGTCCAGTGCTCTAAATGAGCTGTGCCCAGGGCTCAAATACCAGGGGCCATTGCCACCCTGAGGATTCCATATACACTGAAAAACCAGACAAAAGAGTTTGTGTGGGGCTCTGTTCTGTAGCTGTGGCATTCAGAAAATGATAAAAATATGATCTTTGCTGGGGATTAGCAAATCCAGCAGCCCAGTGTGGAACTGCAGCAGACTCTGGGACTGCTGGGTTTGGGCCACCCTCAGCAATCTCCACATTGGTCTCATAGAACAGAAAATAAAAGCTGAGAAACGAGGTCTTTAGAGTGATTACTTGTTTTCCTTTATTGATTTGGGGAGGCTGGAGCAGGAGGAAAGGTAAATTCATCGACATGCCCTGAGTCCTGCAGAGCACCCCTCCACCAGGGCAGCCCAATGCTTTCCCTTCCCTTTTTCAACAGAAGAAGGAAAATTGTTGCTGTTCCAGGCACGAGAACTGTTGGCTAAAACCTGACAGAGCATCTGTGCGTGCTCCCTCTCGCTGTAAAACTCCCATTAACATAAATAGGAGCAGGAAGGAGACCACAACATGACTAATCCTCCACCCCCACGCTGTCTGTGTGTACACTCGCAGCTCCTCCTTCAGCTCATGTGCCCCCACACAATTGCTGGGATAAGTCCTGCTCTCACTCGGTGTTTATTTTAAATTGAATCTTCTTACTGAAAAGGTTGGAGAGGCGTAATTGTGGTCTGGATTTCAGAGCTGCACATGCCTTTGTGGAAATGGCAGGGAGAAGAATGGCTGAGTAACTCTAGGAAGCTGCACACACCCTGCCTGGTTTCCCAGGCACCTCACCAGGCAGGCAGAAAAGCATTTTGTTTTGTGCCTGACGTTCAGAGGAGAGCTCTGGATCTATTCCTAGCTCAGCTATAGATGAGCACACGACCTTGAGAATGTCACTTATCTGATCCTGCTGGCAAATGAATACAGAAGCTGCCTGAGCTTCACTCTTGAAGAGTTCTCTGCCCCTCCAGGTCCCAGGGTTTGTCAGACCAACTTTGGGCACAGCTTCCATGAGTGCTGACGGGAGGAGAAGTGAGGAGGGAGATCCTGGCTTCTCTGTGCTGCTGCTCATAAGGGTGTTTACCAGGGACCATTCTCACTGGAAAAACTGGATGTGGACAGTGATGGAAACCACAAGTCCAAGTCTCCCTGAATGTCTCAGCCCAGACCATGCCAGAACCCCAGTTAGTTCCTCACATGGCTGGGACCACGTTCCAGCGGGCCAGGAGGGAACTGAATCCTCAGGCTGCAGCTTTAGCAAACCCGGAACTAAACCCAGATCTGTAAAACTGGAGGGGAGTGTGGTGTGGGGAAGGATGAGTCCCTTTTCCCAGGTCTCCTTTTGACTCCAACTCTTGGGAGAAGTTTGGGCTCGCAGAATCACAGAAAGGTTTGTGTTGGAAGGGACCTTAAAGATTCCACCCCCTGCCTTGGACAAGAACACCTTCCTCTATCCCAGGCTGCTCCAAGCCCCATCCAACCTGGCCTTGGACACTTCCAGGGTTCCAGGGGCAGCCACAGCTTCTCTGGGCAACCTTGGCTAGGCCGTCCCCACCCTCAGAGGGAAGAATTTCTCCCTAATATTTAATCTAAACTTCCCCTCTTTCAGGTTGTCCTATTTCATCTAGACCTGATTTGCCCAGATGGGGAAATGGGGGTTTGCCAGGCAGAAAATCAGCAAAACCAGACATCCCAACATCCAGCAGCAGCCACTGCTGTCTCCAGAGGACTCTGGGGTGTGGGAATGTGTCCCGACCTCCTTGGCCACCCTTCTGTGGCCCCTTGAGTTAAGATTGGAGATGTAGGTAACCAGAGCTTTGCTAAAAGCCAGAACCTGTCTGTTCCTGCCCCAGAGCACTCAGATAACCGAGGTGAGGTCACCCTCCCCTGCAGCACCTTGGCACAGAGCCTCTCCCAAAACCCTCACTCCCCTGCTCCAGCAAGAGCTGTCTCACTTTCCTCACTCCCTTCTCCTTCTCAAAACCAATCCTTTTGTTTTTTTCTTCTAGGTGTTCATCCAAGGCTGCTTTGGTGCTTGAGGAGGAGCCCACACCTCAGCTGTCCTCCAGGGAGCTGTGCTGAGCACCTCGTGAACGCCTGGTCAAACCTTGAGGGCTCTCATCTCCATCCCTGGTCCTTTCCAGCCCACCTCTATGCCTTTGGACTCCCAGAGAGGATGTCTGTGCCCCAAATCCAAATAGAAGAGGCTCTGGACAGCATGGATGCTGGCTCTGGGGGCGTTCCTCCTCCAGATGATCACCTGAGGACCCTCAAGGCATTGACAGAGAAGCTGAGACTGGAGACCAGGCGCCCTTCCTACTTGGAATGGAAGGCAAAGCTGGAGGAGCAGGCTTGGAAGAGCCCCCAGCCCGAGGGAGACAGGGAGGATGAGGCCACCAAGGCCAAAAAGACCCCAGGGGAGACTGTCCCCATGAGGAAGGTGCAGCTGCACCTCAATGGGAGCCCTGCCCAGGACAAGGGGACTGTCACTTCAGGGAGGATAGGTGGCTTTGAGAGCATCGACGAAGCTTTGACGTGGCTCAGGAAGGAGCTGGTAAGTGATTGCCTGTCCCTGTTAGCACAGATTTTCAAGAGGGGTAAAAATGAAAGAGTGGGGAAACTCCTTGTTCCTACCTGCCTTCAGCCCCAGGTGGAAAGGCAACAATCAGTCCTTGCATTTTCCGTCACTCATTGTGTTTTCCATCACTCATTGTTTTTTCCACACCTGGCTCTTCCAGGTCTATCCTCTGCTGCTTTTTCTTGATTCAAACCCAGTCCACATTTCAGTCATTCCCCCATCCCAGCCTTGGGCCCTGTATCACACATCTGTTTATTTCTGGTGGTTATGTGCTGGACATTTCACAGAGGAGGAGAGGACAGAAATCCTTTGTCTTTTCTAGGAACCTGTGCTAGGAAAGCCAGGGCACAGGGCTGAAATTCACCTTTTCTCTGTCACTTTGCTGTCATGGTTTTTGGCACAAATTTATCCTGGGCCTGACCCAGCTCCCAACCAAACTCAGGAGCCAGCACAGCCTGGAGATAATTCCCAGGAGGATGCACCAATCCTGACAGAGATCAAGAAGTGTTTGGAAAATGCTCTCAGGCACGTAGAGTGATTTTGGGGTTGTCCTGTGCAAGGCCAGGAGTTGCACTTGATGATCCTTGTGGGTCCCTTCCAACCCAGGGTATTCTGTGATTCTCTGGAGGTTGATGGGATGGGTACGTCCCTGTCAGGGCAGCTGAAGTCAGAGCTGGAGACTGAGCCCAGGTGCTCTTCACAAGAGTAGAAGCAATCACACACCAAAAGCACACTTCCCAGTCATCATTCCCTTCTCCTCACTGGCACAAAAATTTTTATTATTTGGCCCAAATCACTGGAAGTGACTCATGACACGTGGCTTTGTTTCTGTTGCCCAGTTGGATTTTTGCCTGTGAGTCCCAGCAGGAATATTTGCAACAGGGGCTGGGACATCACTTGTGGCCAACACTTGTGAAAATGTTCCTGTGCAGACACTTTGTTTTTGAGAAGCACGGAAAAAAAATTCTGACAAAAATAAATAACAGTTTTAAAGATTTCTTTGCGAATTTGCTTGAGATAATGTTGATTTGTCAACTTTCTGTTGCTGCTTTCACCCAACTCCACTGGTCCCCTGAGGATTTATTTACAGAGGGGGTTCTGGATATTGTCACTTTGGTGACTTTGTTTCTCAGGATTGTGGCTTTCAGGAATATTAGGAATATTTCAGGACTATTAGGAACAGCTTTAAGATCATTCCCTACAATCCCTCAGTGCCCTGGAGAGCCTCAACTCCAGATCTGTGACCTGAATCTGGGTGTAATCTTAAATTCACACTTGATGGAAACCCTGAATCTCAAGATGATCAGAGAGTAAGAAGCAGATTTTCCTTCTCAGAACCTTGGATTTTAAAAGATTTGGGGTTTTCTTTCAATCTCTGCCCATGATGGAAATACAAATTGTCTCAGAGTCTGATTCTACCCCTTAGACTGGGGTGTGGTATCTAAACCACTGTCTGTCAAAAACTGAAAGTTTAAATTGAAGACAAGGAATGGCCAAGCAAACCCTAATTGTTCCACACTTTCCATTTCCCAGCTACTTAATTATACCGGTCTTTGCTGGAACTGGATGTGACTGGTAATTTAGAACAATTTCCCCAAAAGGGAGAGCAATTTTTTGACTGACCACAGGGTGAAATAGCTGTGCTGGAGGCACGAGTGTGGGTAAGAGCTGCCAGCAGGCAGAGGGAGCACAGCCAGGCCGTCCCATCACATGGTGCTGGAACCAAAAGGTGCATTTCACATTACATTTCAAGGGTGAAATGCAGTTTCTTGTCAAATAAAGGAACAAGCTTCCAGACATCCCAACACAGACAAGATCTTTCCCCTGCTTTTCCTCATGTTGTGGTAGCAAAGCCATCAGGAATGCTCCACAGCAGCATGAAGCCCAGAAACCAACCAGATCTTGGGCTGATCCCCCAGTTTGGGCAGCAGGGGAGGGGGGATTCTGCCCTTCTGCTCCTTTTAGGTGAGACCCCACCTGCAGAGCTGCCTCCAGCCCTGGTGCCCAGCACAGGAGCTGCTGGAGAGAGTCCAAAGAGGCACCAGGATGTTCAGAGGGATGGAGCAGCTCTGCTGTGAGGAAAGGCTGAGACAGCTGGAATTGTTCAGCCTGGAGAAAGCTTTGGGATGAGCTAATTGTGACCTTCCCGTTCCTGAAGCAGCTTAAAAGAAAGTTGGGGAGGGACTTTGGACAAGGTCCTGGAGGTAAAGGGCAAAGGGCAATGGCTTCCTACTGCCAGAGGGCAGGGTTAGATGGGAAATTGGGAAGGAATTCATCCCTGTGAGGGTGGGGAGGCCCTGGCACTGGTTGCCCAGAGAAGCTGTGGCTGCCCCTGGATCCCTGGAAGTGTCCGAGGCCAGGTTGGACAGGGCTTGGAGTGACTGGGATAGAGGAAGGTGTCCCTGCCCATGGCAGGCTGGAACAAGATGAGTTTTAAGGTCCTTCCCACCCAAACCATTCCATGCTTCTGTGATCCCACAATATGGTTATTGAGGGTCTGTAGGACTCACCTATCCAATGAAGGGGCAAAAGCTGGTGAATGTGGAGATTCTTTCCATGCAGGAAAGACGTGCAGCAGCCCTGTCCTTAGGAGTGAAATGCAGAGTGTGCAGCTCCTTCACCCCCAGCCCTCAGCACAGCTCCCAGCGTGTTCAGGCTGGGCTGTTTCAACAGCAGCACCCTGGAATGGTTCTGGCGTGTCCCAGGGAGCATCCTGCCAAGCACTTGGAGCTTCAGGAGTTTGCATATGCTGGGGACTGTTCCCATCAGGCAGGCAGGACCACCCAGTTTTGGATTTAACTCTATCCCAGCCAAAAGCAGCAGAGGCAGGAGAGTAAATTTGGTACTATCATGGAAGGGTTTAGGTTGGGAAAATCATCGAGTCCAACCACTCCCCAGCACTGCCAAGGCCAGCACTAAACCATGTCCCCAGGCCACATCCACACAGCTTTCAAATCGCTCCAGAGCCCTGGGCAGTTGGGCCAGGGCTGGACAGTCCTTTTGCTGAAGGAATTTTTTCCTAATATCCAATTTAAGCCTCTCTTGGTGCAACTTGAGGCAATTTCCCCTTGCCCTATCTCTTGTCACTCCCAATCCACACAAAAGTCATCATCTGACACTGCAAGGAATTTTCCTCTGTGCCTTCAGGGCCTGCTCTGATTTGACTTCAGCCAGGTTCAGGCTGCTCACCTTGAGGAGTGAAGCAAAAGACAAATCCAAGGTTTTATTGTCCATGTCGCCTCACCTGACCTGCCCCAGACCCAGGTTTGTAGGACTGACACAAACCCACGGAGCCTCAGCCAGGCCCTGCTGAGAGCCTGGCACCGAGGAGCTGATTTATTCAGACGTGCAGACTGCTCTTGTTTTTGTGCTGAGAGGCTCTGTGGAGGTGTAGGAGCAAATTGCAGCTCTCAGCTTGTGCTGAGCTGCCCCGGGGCCGGAGCATTTCCCTCCCCAGCTCCTCCTGCCTCTTCTCTGCCCTTTGCTTGCCTTTGCACTGTCAAGTGTGGCAGCTCCTCGTCTGTGCTGAGAGCAAAACCATCACCAGCCCAGGGATGGTGGCAGACTCGAGGACTGGAGGAGTCACACTTTGCTCTTTGGTTTTGAAATTTGCCAGATTTTACAAGTTATGAAATTAAGCGCTCAAAGTCTTCTCCCTCCTAAGTATGGCTAAAGTAAAACCCTGTGAACAGAGACGTCTTAGAACAGTTCTAACTTAGTCCTTTTAGGAAAAATGAGTTTTCTAGCTCAAATTCACCAGTTTGGCACTGTGAGCCAGAATGCAGGAAAAGAAACACATATTTCTGATGGTCCCTCCTAGGAAATCATGAAACGCCTGTGTCCTGTCAATCAGATTTTATTTCCATTTAGGATACTCATACTGGCTGAACAAGTGCTTGGGTGAATTTAAACAACAATGAAGCACCAAATTTCCTCATTATGAGGGTGGGGAGGCTTTGGCACAGGTTGCCCAGAGAAGCTGTGGAGTCCCCACCCCTGGAGGTGTCCAAGGCCAGGTTGGACAGGGCTTGGAGCAACCTGGGATAGTGGAAAGTGTCCCTGCCCATGGCAGGGGGTGGAACAGGATGAGTTTTAAGGTCTTTTCCAACCCAAAACATTCCATGACTCTTTGACCTCTACTGTTAAATTGCTGAAACTAAGGAAGAGTTTAGGATTTATTATGGAACAGGACCATCCCCAGGGGTCAGTTTTGGTGCAGCCACTCTGTTTTGGGGAGAGAGGGAGCCAACACAGCCTAAACAACACTGAGGAAGGGTGAAATCTGGGACCTTGACATGGTCCAGCTGGCAAAGAAAACTCTCCTGGTGGTGGTGGAGAACTCCCAGGCACTCCAGAAGGAGCTGGGATAACTCATCTGGTGCTGTGGGTTGCACCACAAGGGCGTGAGCACCTAAATTACCTATACCAGGGTGGCATCTGAGCACCTCTGAAGAAGCCCCAAACTAAAGCACAGACAATGTGGGCTTGTCTGAAGGGCTTGGCAAGGATCTGACAAGTGGCCCGTGCTTCTTTGTGCTTGAATCCAACTGGCTGCACTCAGGAAAGTGCCAATTCACATTTCAGTTTCTTTTGAACTTTTGGAAATAAAAAGGGCTGGCCCTGTGAGAGCAGCTGCCTCTCCACAGACCATCCCCCTGAGCTTCATGGACCAGGCTGGGACTTCATCCATGGGACTCTTCTCCTTTGGAAGGAGAGGGAAATCTCAAAGAGCTCCTCATCTCCATGCCTCAAGGTGCTGCCTGCTGAAAATCCCCCAAAAGCAATGCAGAGAAAAGATGGACTGCTGGAAATGGGAAAATTATTGGTCTTCCTGTCTGTTGAAGGCAAAATTGAAGGCAACTGCTTGTAGCTATTAGGGCTGAGCCACCTAGACTGGAAATCAGGAAAGAATACATCCAGAGTTTTCTCTCCCTCACTCCTGTTAAACATCCCTGGGAGACTCTGGGGTTCAATCCAAGCAGAAAATAATCTCTAAGTTCATAAGATCCAGTGGTCCAGCTTTGCATTTAAATCCAGCAGTTGCTTCTCTTCCAGGAAGGACCTGAGTTTGGTTCTCCCTTCCAGCCTGGGAAATTTAACCTGGCATCCTGTCCTTTCCAACAACATTCCCCAGCCATGCTGGTGAGAAACAGCAGGGGCTTGTTGTGCAGAGAGAGGCAGAATGTGTTAAAACGTTGGTTTTCATGAGCAAGACACACCTAAAGCTCTTCCTGCCCTGGCCATGAGAGGATCAAAGGAAATCAAAAACCTGGTTTCTGCTGGATGCTCCCCACAGGTTTCTCCAGGATGCTGCATCCCTGTGTGGGATCCTGCTGCTGCCTCACATGGATAAACTGGAATGTGCAGTTCCCTCGTGGTGACCAGCCCTGTGGGTGAACTCTGCAAACCAAAAACCCCACGGCTTCCCGTGATGTGGCCCCTGTAATCCCATTATTCATTCCCAGGCAGCTTTGTGGAGCTCTGCTGGCCTGACAACGCTGCTTGTAAATGGACATCACTCATCCTTTCCAGTGATTGTTTGGTCCTCAGCATGGGACAGGGGGAATGGCTTTGGAATTTGTGCAGAGCCTCTGGGAAAGGGACGGAGAACGAGGATTTCTGCATTCTGGCTGAAATTCCTCTAAATATTCTGGGAGGGTTTGAATAGAGCAGTGTTTAGTGAGACAGCTCCATGGATGCAGGGCAGGGGGTTTGCATCTCAAGCCAAGCCCCAGGGATGAGTGTGGGGAGTGAGAGTTCATGCCCTGCAGAGCAGCCCAACTTTGGTGCTCCACCCTCTGCCCAGCTGTCACCCCACAGAGCTGCCTCCACAGGACCTGTCACCAGAAAGGAACTCCCAAGCCCTTGGGAAGACAAGGCAACCTTCCAAGGAGCACAGGCAGTGACAGCCCTCCTCCCATCTCCCATCTCCTCCTTGTGCACATCATCCTCTCATAGAAACTTGGAATTCTTAAGGCTGGAAAAGCCCTCAAAGATCATTGAGTCCAGCCCTTAACCCAGCACTGCCAAGGCCACCACTAAACCATGTCCCCAAGTGCCACATCCACATGGTTTTAGTCAACCACTGCCAGGCTTTGTTCCTTATCTTTATTTTCTAGAGGGCTTTGCCTTCCAGCTTGGGTGAAAGCAAACGGATTCCTCAAAAGTGTGAAAAAAAGAACCAGTCCAAAAAATGAAAAGATGGTTTGCAAGAGGAAAAAAACACCTATAACTCACAGCGCTTTGCACAATGGTCTCATAATTCTCTTTTAAATGTTTTTGTTGTTTGTTTTTTTTTGGCAGCAGAGGCTTTTTTAATCTCACATTCTTCCAAATGTTCAATGAAAGACTTTGTTGGCATTTCTTACGTAACTTGATACACCAAAAAAGAACGACCCAAGGTCACTTCAATAACACCTGCGATCACCTCCTGATAAAATATCAGCATTTGTTGTGAAACAGGGCAAAATATCAACAGATTTTTTTCTTTTTTTTTAATTGGAACTCAGGTGGAAGAATGAAAACTGCCAAGTGGCATTGCTCTGCTGGGGGCACAGGTTATGAGGTCTGAGAGGAAATAGTGAGTTTTTTGATAAAGGTAAATGACCCACAACCCTGCCAACAATTTGAGAGATATTTCCTGAGAGAGAGAGAGAGATTCACCTAGAGATTGGTACAAAGGTGACTTATTCACTCAGGGATTGGTACAAAGGTGACTTAATCCTCTCCAGACAGCCAAGCTGGAGTCTTATTGCTGGCTGGGAGCATCAGGCAAGGTCCTCCAGGATGCTTCTGTAGCGTCAGACAATCATAGAATGGTTTGGGTTTGAAGGGATTTAGATATTAGAAAAGAATTTTTCTCTGTGAGAGTGGTGAGGCCCTGGCAAAGGTTCCCATTCCTGGAAGTGTCCAAGGTCAGGTTGGACAGGGCTTGGAGCAACCTGGGATAGTGGGAGGTGTCCCTGCCCATGGCAGGGCATGGGGCTGGATGATCTTTAAGGTCTCTTCCAACCCAAACCATTCAGGGATTCTCTGATTCCCTGGAGGAAGAGGGATTATGGCACAAGCTAAAGTAACCCCAAGGCTGCTTTGGTTCACACCCTCCTTGCAGCAGCCCTTGGAAAGGGGTCATGGAAAGGTCTCATGTAGGAATTTCAGGGTCTCTGTGGGGTCTCTCAAGGGGAACTTCCTCCCTTCCCTTCAGCATCTTCATGCACAAACCAGCAGGCCAGGAATAATTTATTCCCTTCCCCAGGCCTACATCTGTACCCACAAAATGAGCAACTCATTTTCAGGCCTGGAGGGAAACTGATATGGTCTGATCACATCCATGCTGCTAAAATCCAGGAAAGGGAAATTTATCCCAAAACAGAGAGTCACAGAGTTCTAGAACTGGCTGAGTTGGAAGAGGCCTTGGAGATCATTCTGTTCCAGCCTCTTCTGGTGAGCCTGTTGGGCTTCTTCCCCACCTTCTTTTTTTATTTTTTTTTTAAATTTTTTTGTAGTTTTTGTGGTTTTGTTGCTTTTCTGTGAGGAGGGAAGTGGGGTGGGAAGTGGGAATTGTGTTGATTTGCTTTTCTAGCCCTGCCTTCTCCTGTTTGCCAGGCAGATTTCCACACCAAGTGTTCTCCTTCCTTCACTATCCACAGCATCCTGTGGCAATGAATTTTCTTAATTATGAGTTAGATTTTTTTTTTAATAAAAAACCTCTTTCCTTTCATTACTTCTGAATCTTCCACCTTCCCAAGCCAGGTGCCAGGGGAGAAAAAAAATACCTCCAAAACACTTAGATGATTAGCTTGGAGGTTGTAGTTCTCTGTCCTGTGGGAAACCATGGAGGTCCCATCCTGAGAGCCACTTCAAATCATCGAGATAAAATAAGCCACAGGGGAGGTGGAGTCTGTCATGGGCCAGCTCTGATTTATGCAGGATAGAAACCCAGGCTGAGTATTTGGGGATAAGTTATTTGGTATTCTTTTAATTGGTCCTTTCCACCTCTAATTGCTCTGTCTCCCTGTGGCTGCTGCCTTATGAGCAAAATTAATTTGGGCTTTGTTTAATGTTGAGATGGAGGCTCTGAAGCCTGACAGATACCCAAGCCAACAGCCTTGGCACAGCTTTAATTCCAGTTTCCTGGTGCTCCTGAAAACGCGAGCAGGCACAGAATTTCTCGATTGTTAAAAATTCCCCATCCTGACCTGGTATTTTTTGGGATGCATTGCTGGCTTGGATGATCTCTGTCTCCTTCACAGATCAAGCACCTCTAGATGAGTTCACAGAATCAGCTAGGTTGGAAAAGACCTTTGAGATTGAGTCCAACCTATAACCTGACACAACTTTGTCAACCAGACCATGACACATTCAGCCTTTTTGTAAACACCTACAGGGATGGTGACTCTACCACCTCCCTGGGCAGCCCATTCCATGCCAAATCACTCTTTCTGTGAGGGACTTTCTCCTAATGTCCAGCCTAAACTTCCTCTGAAGCAGCTTAAGGCTGTGTCCCCTCATCCTGTCGCTGGTTCCCTGGGGGCAGAACCCAACCCCCACCTGGCTGCACCCTTCTCTCAGGGAGTTGTGGAGAGTGAGGAGGTCTCCCCTAAACCTCCTTTTCTCCAGGCTGACCCCCCCCAGCTCCCTCATCCACTCCTCACAGGGTTGTGCTCCAGACCCCTCACCAGCCTTGTCACCCTTCTCTGGACGCATTCAAGCCCCTCAACATCCTTCCATTCCCCACGATCCGGTGGCTGCAGCCTCGAGCAGCAAATTTGCCACTCAAAACCCTCTTCCCTCCCCATTCCAGGCAGAAATGCGCCTGCAGGACCAGCAGCTGGCCAGGCAGCTCATGCGGCTGCGCAGCGACATCAACAAGCTGAAGATCGAGCAGACGTGCCACCTGCACCAGCGCATGCTCAACGATGCCACCTACGAGCTGGAGGAGAGGGACGAGCTCGCCGACCTCTTCTGCGACTTCCCCCTCGTGAGCTCCTTCAGCCTCTCCACGCCCCTCAAGCTCATCGGGGTCACCAAGATGAACATCAACTCCCGCCGGTTCTCGCTGTGCTGAACCGGGGGAGAAAGAGGGAGAGGGATCTCTCTGCCTCATGGCTGGGTGAGGAGAGGCCAGCGAGGAGCAGAGGGAACGGGAGCAAACAGGGAACCCGCAGCTGGTCTTGGTGGCAGCGTAGAGAATGGCACTGGAACGGCCCGGGGATGCTCATGGGGGAAGGCAGAACCTGCGTGGAAGAAGCCTGGAGAGCATCCAGATCCAAAACACAAACTCAGCTCCTTTGCCAAGTCCCTTCTCCTCCTCTTCCTCCCACAGGACGCAGCTCGGTGTGGGTGGTTGTGCTCAAAAACCAAAGGAGGGGTCAAAAATCAGCCACAAAGCAAAATCCCCCTTCCCTTGCCTTCCCCTCCTCCTAGGCTGGAGCAATGTCTCTCTCCTCCATGGATGTCTCCTTGGGCACCAACCCTCAGCCTCTGCTGCTCCAAGTGTGGGATCCACGGGGCTGTTTCCAGTGGGAAGTTGATTTCCAGTGGGAAAATCAAGCAAGCAAAGGACTGTGGGTTAAATGGTACCAGCCCCAAGAAGTGGTGAGAAGATGTGTTTGTTGGATTGCTCCATAGAGTCTAGGGCACTGCAGCTTCATTTCTCCTGTGGTATAGATTATGGAGTCACCAGGGGCACATTCAGAGATTCCAGCTGACCAGAAGCCTCCAGCGTGCCCAGGAAGTCATACCCAGAGCAATACACATTTCTGATCCTGTTGGATGCTGTTGTCAGCCCCAAGACACCCTGTGGCTCACCCTGCAAACAAGGAAATGTGTACCCAAGACATTTCCTGTCAGGGAAATCCCCAGGCTGACGCCCCCCAACAGCAGCACCAGCAAACCCTGGATCCTCTGTAGCAACACACATCCATCAGAGAGAGTGACTTCAAGAGGAGAAAGGGGACTTTTGGGACTTAAAATTAAAGGGAGAAATTGCTGTGATGAGCTTTGGACCTGCAGCAACACGTGGGGTTCCCTCCCTGCCCAGCAGAATGTGAGATGGATGCTGTATTTTCTTGCCTTTCAGTGCCCACGGCTGCCTGTACTTGGCACGGGGGGCAGAGACCTCCGGTGCTGCCCAGCAAGGGACTCCAAAGGTCTTGCCATGGCAATTTTGGGACAGCTGGCACCCAGGACAAGACAGATCAAGCGTGGATGCCTTCAGGCTCTCCCTCCTGTGCCCACCCCGCTCCTGACCCTGTCAGAGTGGAACAATCCTGCTCATGGTGCCCATACCCATGGCAGAAGGGTTGGAATCAGAGGATCTTTATGGTCCTCTCCAACCCAAACCATTCTAGGACCTCAGCCCACCTCTGCTCCTCCCCACGTGGCCGAGCAGGAGCAGCTCTTGGCTGAGCAGACCTGGCTGTGCCCACAGCCCCAGCCCAAGGCCTGGGAAGGAGCAGGAGGGGCCATCCCGCTGCTCTGGAAGCTGTGGCTGTGTCGATGTGCCTGTAGCTGTCTGTGAGCTCTGTGTGTGTGTGTCAGTCGCTGTGTGTGTGTGCATCTGAGCCCACGGGACGCCTCTCCCGGGAGGCTCCGGGCTGGGTTCGCGCCTTTGTTCCGAAACGTGACGGGAACCGGGATCCGGCGAGGCTCCGACATGCCTGGGAGGATGCAAGGAGGCTTCCAGACCTGGGGCTCCACTGGGAGCTTTAGGTTGGTGCAAAGACCAATAATTCGTGTGCCTCCACAGGTCTGCAGAGTGGGGATGAATTAAGGGGTTCACGGATGATGGGGCTGGGGACTCTGAGCTGAGATCAGTCCTCCATCCCCACAACCCCTGGATGATGCCTCCTCATCCACTCCAAAGCTCCCCGAGTATCTTTTCTTTCTGCTAAGGAAGGAGAAATTTTAAGCACCAGAGCTTTATCTATACCGTCAGCACCATGCCTGGGTGCTGAATCTTGTGCTCCCCAGGTGAGGAAATTTTATTTTGGGTAGTGATCAGACTGTCACTTGGCCTCTGGACAAGACAACCAGCCACGGTGCCGTTCAGTTTACTAGGAACAGCCTTACTTCCCCATGGACATCTTGGAAAAAAATAGAAAACACCTCATTAAAATTCTTCTTTGTTTACTTTTTTCATAAAAATAAATCAGTTTGTGTCCCACATGTTGATTTTCAGAGGTGTTTTCAATCAGAAATGATGTTTTTTCCATGAAAATAATGCCTTGGAAAGGGGGATTGGTTCTCTCTAGGGTCAAATGGAGTCGAGTACAGGGTGGGTCAGCCTTTGGGCTCTTGTCTGGTAGCCAAAAGCAGGGGTTAATTCAAGCACAGTCTTCATGGGTCATTACACATGGCATTAGAAAATCAGACGTCTGAATTCCAGACATGTATCTTCTGCATTAAGGGGGAAGAGGCATGGGTGTAACTGCCAGCTGTTTGTTGAAATGCACAATTTTTTAATTATAAAACCTCTGTATGTATTGATTTCTGCCTCTGGTCTCTCACTGTGTTGGGGAAACACCAGGATGATGTGTTCCAGGATTACAGGTGTGCCAGGTTTTTTCCTGGCAAGTTTTTGTATCCACTCACGCCCATTAGCTCCACCTGGCAGCCCATGAGAGATGGGAGGAAAATAAGGTTGGAGCACGTATGGTGTGTTTGGAGAAAAACCTATGGAAAAGAAAGCAAAAAAAAAAAAAAAATTATGTTTTATGTTAGTTAGCCACTGAGTGAAAAGTGGGTCCAGGCACTTAAATGATATCAGGCTAGGGAGGAGAAAGAAATAGAAATAGGTCTGATTTTTGCTGAATTTTAAAATAAAAGGTCACCAATGTTGGGTCAGATTCGAGAAACATGAGGACAGGTCATTGCTCCCACCACAGAATTCCCAGACAGGAGCCTGCAGGTCTCAGCTGTGCACAGTGAGGTGACTCAAACCCTCGAGTGTTGGTTCCTCTCCTGTGGCTTAGAGCCACATTCCCTTTCCCAGATGCCTGGAGAGAAATCTGGTGGAAATCAAGGCTGGTTCTGCTGAAGTCCATCCAAGAAATGCTTCTGTGTAGACCAACAAGTCAAAGATGCAGCTCCATCTGGAGCACCAGTGGCTGCTGCTCCATCTCTTGGAAGCAGGAATCTTCTGGGCACTGATTCCAGTGTTGTCCTCAGCCATTCAGCATTGAGACACGTTCCTCATGAAATGGAAGAGCCAGATTGAGACTAATCCATGGGAATAATTAACTGCATTTTTAATATAGGTGGCCAAGCTGGAGGACCAGGCTAAGTGGAAGATAAAATTCCAGATTATTTTTGCTTGCCCCCAAAAGCCCAATGCAAATTTTAAATGGGGGAGTCAGTCTAGCATTTTAATTTGATAAATTTTGTTTTTACTCACAACTTGAATACGTCACTTAAAATTCTTTACTTAGAAGGAAATTGTTCCCTGTGAGGGTGGTGAGGCCTTGGCACAGGTGCCCGAAGAAGCTGTGGCTGCTCCATCCCTGGAAGTGTCCAAGGCCAGGCTGGATGGAGCTTGAAGCAACATGGGATAGTGGAAGGTGTCCCTGCCCATGGCTGGGTGTTGGAACTGGATGATCTTTAAGGTCCCTTCCAACCCAAACTATTCTGGGATTCTGCAAAAATAGTTCTAAAAAATTTAAATTACAGCTGAGACATTAACACTTCATTTTCATTCAAACATTGTTTTGCTGTTAGCCGTTAAAAAAACTTTCCTTGAAAGAGCCTTAATAAAACTTTTCCACTTTCTCTTTTTCAGCTAGACCCAGTCCCTGAAGTTTTAGTCAGTCCAAAGCCCCCACATTTTTTACCATGAAAAAATCAGTTAAAAATTAATTGGCCCAGGTTCCTTTTTTCTTTTTACTTCCTTTGTGTCAATTAAGAGGAAGCACAGAGCAATTTTACACATTTTACTTCGTGATGAGCTGGCTGCTCTCCCTGGCTTGAGCTGCCACAATCTAGTAATGGACAGGACCTTGCTCCTCTGTCACACCCCCAGAGCAGAAATGATGAAAAGAGTCATTGTTCCCAGGAAAGTGTCTCATTCCTCACTCTTTTGGCACGGGAAGTGCTATCCCATAATCAGTGAGTGATTCGAGGTCTCTCACAATCAACCCCCATAAAACCTTAATTAAATTCAGTGGAGACCCTGTCAGAGAATGCCACACTGGTTCCCCTTGCACCAGGAAAGCCAAGGAATGACACATTTAAGGACTTAAAGACTGAATTTTCAGATTTACTCGGCTACACAGGATTTTAACTATCACAGCTTAACCTTTTTTATAGGTAGCGATGATATAGATATGGATATATATGGGCAAAAATCCCAGCTGGAGTATTCCCAGCACCTCGTGGGTTTATTTCACAGCCTGACACTCTCTGCTGAGTGGGTTTTCCTTCAGATCAAGGCAGACAGGAGGAGGGGGAAGGAAAAAACCAGGGATTGCAAGGAGGAGGTGGCAGGCTCCACAGCAGAACCGGAGCCAGGCTCTCTTCCCCCGCTGCACGTTTTACAACCAAGTGTTGTGTCTGAGGGGATGCACACATGGGAGCGAGACATCCTAAAACCCTGGCAGGAATCACCCCTCTGGCATCACTCACAAACCAGATGCTGGCCAGAGGAGCCACGCAGCAGCTCCCAAAAATGTGCAAACCACTCCAGAAATCCTCACTCATCTCCGTGTGACCTGGGAAATCTGGGAAGCTGAGGGCAGCACTTCCCTCCCCTCTCCAGCCTCAGGACACTCCTGAGTCCTGGGTGATCACACTCACTCCTGGGAGTGTTCCAATGGCTGGGAAGATAAGGTGAAATGTAAATGTGGAATTTAAGGTAAGCAACAATTGAATTTGGGCCAAACTTCTGATTTCGGCCTTTTGTCTTTCATCTCTTCAATCTATTTTATGAAGGATCAAGAAACCACCTCCATTCACCCATCATTCAGAGCAGCCAAGACCTGGACTGGCCCCGTCCTTGCAAAAGGTGGATATTACAGAGTCCCTGTGGTCAGACAAACCATTCTGATCACTGTTGCCCTCAGCACCTAAATGTGTTTTAAAATGCTCTGGGGCAGCTCCTGAGAGCGCTCTGCAGTGTCAAAGTTGTGTCTGTCCCATCCCTGGAAGTGTCCAAGGCCAGGCTGGACAGGGCTTGGAGCATCCTGGAATGGTGGAAGGTGGAGGTTGGAATGAGATAATCTTTATTTTCCCTTCCAACCCAGTCCATTCTCAGTGAGGAATGATCAGTGCCTCGCCACTGCTCCTTCCCCGAGCCCCCTGTCCCTTGTGGCTGGCTCAGCTCCCTCCAGAGGGGGATGAGGGGGAGGAGGGAGGTTATTACACAATGTTTTTGTTCCACTGACAGTTTCCCTCTGCCAGTTGGAACAGGCTGCTCATAAATTTCGGCTTTCTGGAGGGGTTTCAGGAGTTTTGCATTCTTAGATCATTGTCTGCCTTTCCCAGGAACAATGGGGGCAGGAAGGAGCTGCTCCAGAAATGCCATGTGCTAGGAGGGGATCTCTCCTGGATAGGGATTGCTCAGGGAGGGCAGAGGGAGCTGCCCTCCACTGCTTCAGCTCCCAGCTGGGTAGCCAAGGAGGCAGCTCAGTGGCAAGCAGGAATGCTGCTGGCAGTGCCCTGTGCAGATCTGGGAAGGTCAGCTCCTTCCTGCCACTCCAGGAAGATGATTGGAGGTGTTATAAATGAAAATTTGTCCAGCCAAATTAATATGAAAAAATAAAATATTTATTTAGCAAGAAAATTCTATCTAGCCAGCCACAAAGAAAGAACAGAGACGAGCCCGGGGTCAGCCCTGGGTGTGCAACAAGGAGTCAGCCTCAGCAGAGGTTTTCCTCTATGCCCACACACCTCCATCCTGGCACAAGAGGTTTTTATAGGGAAAATTCTGCCTGAGGCCAAGATGTCAGCAGTCTTTTCTTCTATTCAGAGTCCATATGTTAATAAGATTTTCTTTTTTGGTGACCAGTGTCAGGAGTTGCTGAATCCCTTGATGAAAAATGCTGCATTCACATGTATCTGCCCGAGGATTTCCATGAGATCCATCCCAGGTCGTTCAGGCATGATCAGCACCTGGGGTCCCCCCATATCTCTCCAGTCATGGCTCATCCCCATCTCCTGGCTGAGCCACATCCTTTTACGTGTAAATCAAGTTTCAACATACACCAGGTTTCACCTGTGAGGGTGGGGGGAGTCCTAAAACAAACGTGTATAGCCAACAAATATTCAATATCACATATATCCTATTAGAAATGGTGCAAATTATATCTACTACACATAACAGAGGGATTATCCTGTGATTCTAAGGTGGGGAATGAGAAATGGGATGGTCCCTGCTGTGGGTGCTGAGCACCTCCTGGACTCCCAGGTGTGAACACCTTGGCAGGCTCAGCACGTCCTTCACCACCCTGGAAGCTGCTGGGGCTGGGATTTTAGAGAAAATCTCGTCCTGAGGGTGAATCACAACTGAAAGCCTGCTGCAAGGCTTCTAACCAGATAAGAGGGATCAAGTTCTCAATTCTCTCAGACTCATCCTGTGCAGGCAGCAGCTTTTCAGAGTGTGCTGCTCCCTTCCCAGGCTGCCAATTCCAGCCAAAGCTTTGGTGCCTTGAGTGGCTTGCCAAGGGTGGGCTTTGCCTGCCCCACGAGGTTCCTGGCATGGTGTGGGTCCAGCCCAACCAGCAGTGACCCCAACAGCCAGCAGGTCGGGTTCAGGAGTTGTGGGAGCCAGGGATCATCCCAAACTGCCAGCCTGGGTGCTGCTACACTCTTTGGGGGCGTGAGGGTTTAACCATATAAACTATCTGGGCTGTACCAGCTGGAATCCTGGGCACAGGAGTGACCCTGGCGCAGTTCAGTTCACTCACAGAGCTGAGGAAACTCAGCCAGGACAGAGTGCAAGAATCCTTTCTTACAGAGAGCAATCACTGAGGACTCAGAAATCTTGCAAAGGGACAAGTCCCCAGTGCATTTTTGAGCCAAGGCTGTATAGGAGAAGTTTTCTTGACTTGTGACACACAAACCTCTCCCCCAGCAAAGGAATCACTCATCTGGATGGCAACAGCAGGAGCTGTGTCTTCCCCAGCAACTCATCCTCTGGCCTAAAGCCAAGTGCCCAATCTGATCAAGCCCATATCATTAATTACAAAACAGCAGTCACACCAAACTACATCTTAGGAATGTCCCTGACCCGTGAAAGCTCCCAGACTTTGCCTGGGAGTTGTTGTCCCGTGCCTAGCTCATGCCAGGGACTGTGATGATCATTGAAATCCAGCACCTGGAAATGCTCCTCAGCTTTTTGGTTTGCTCCCAGCCGCAATACAGCTCCAGCACTGACACCAGCAAAGTCCTGAAGGAGTTATTTTCTCTTCCCTGGGTTATTTTCTCTTCCCTGGGTCTCTTCCAAGCCCACTCAGCCCAGACAGAGGACCCCAGTCCTCTGAGACCCCCACAGGGAGGGTTGGCCAGCTCGTTCAAAAAGGTGGCTATAAAATCTTAATTATCTCCATTAGCTGCCAGCCTGCTCCAAGTTTTAGTCCCAGGGATGCCAGGAGGTTTCCTAGTAACAGCATGCAATCAGCCAAAAAAAAGAGGGAATTATTTATCAGAGAGCTCCTTGCCATGCAGGAGGAGAGGATGGCAGAGGAAGGATGTCCCAGGGGCTCTGCAGGGAGGAGCTGCAGCTTCCAGCACCTCTGTGAAGGATGACAGGTTGTGGTGCTCCTGGAAATCATTCCTTTGGGCAAAATAAACAGCCACCAAAAAATCTTCCTGGGTGGGAAAAGCCAGGATATCACACGAGAGCCAGGCTGAGGTCCTGCCCTGAGCTAAAAGGAACATTTCAAACCCGGGGCTGGCTGTATATATCCAGCCATATTTCCTGGGAAAAGCCCTTTTTGGAGTTTTTCACCATTTTCCCATCCCACCTTGAGGATGAGCAAGGGCAGGGACTGATCTTGGTGCAAGCCTCGAGACTTGCCATGTGCCACAGAGTGAGGTGAAATTTGCCTCATTGCTCATGATTTCTTCCCAGTTCTGGCAGGGAAGGAAAGGATTTAGCACCAGGATTTAATTCCTAAGGGATTTCTTCACATCCTCAAAATGCCAGCCTTCCTCGTGGGCCCAGTTCAAAGCTACTGCCACAGAAGAAAAAAGGCTGATTGCTTTGTGTGCTTCCTCTCACCTGGAATTCCATTTCTGCAGAGCACCTTATGCACCAGCCCCCAGAGAACTAAACTTGGCCTCTGCGGGTTCTGGTCTTCTCACGTCCAGAAATTAATTCCCAAAGGACACACTCCATGATTTTTCCAAGGTCTAAGGTGGGGCTGACCTCCAGAGCTCTCCAAATCCTCCTTTTTTCCTTTTTCAAGGTGTGTATAAATGTTAGAGACATCTGAGGATGGGCAAAGATCAGACACTAGGAGTTTTTTGTAAATGACAGGCAGCAGCCCCACAATTCTGACCACAGAGTTCCATTAGAGCACTCTCATCCAGTCTCATGGATGTAAATACATTTATTTTCACTAAACAGCCCATAAAATTTAATTTCTTCAGCTGCTGGTTATTCTCCTTCCCAAACACTGCTGTTCTCTGCAGAATCTTGGAGCAAGTCTGACCTACAGAAACTGAGGCAAAGAAGGGAATTCAACCTTTGCCATAATCACCCTTCGTGAGGCTGTCCCCCCATCCAAAAACCCGCACACATTTTCCATGGAGTGTGCTGTTAAAACACTTGCAACCCCTCTTTTTGTCACTCTCAGCATCCCTGGCCACTCTCTGCTCCAGCTGGTCCTCAGCCCTCCAGCTTTCATGCCTAAGTACCCCAGCCTTGCATTTGCACTCTTCTTTCATTTCCTCTCCTTATTTCCATTTCTTGTATGCTCCCTTTTAACAGCTCAGCTCACTAAGAAGTGTCTTAATTAGCCAAGGAGGCTTTGTGCTAGAATTCCTGATTTTCATGAGCAAAGGCAGGGTTTGTTCCCAAGCTCTGAATGAGTTTTCTTTTAAAATAAATCAGCCAGCTGTCTTGGACACCTTCTCCCCTTCAAAACAACCTCAGAGTTCCCCAAAAAGCTGAAGTCAACTTTCCTGAAATCCAAAGTCCTCTCAGCCTAGAGCTCCTCAGACCTCTCTCCAGGTGCAAGTCCAGTTATTTCACAGCTCTGAGAGCCCCCCCTGCCACCCCTGACCTCAATTTTCCTCTGCTCCTTCTTTATGAACAGCAGGTCAAACACTGGTGGATGTGGACAGGACTGACCACTCCACTCCCTGTGCTCTGCCCTTGTGACATCCAGCCTGGAGCACTGAATCCACCCCTGGAGTCTCAGGATAAGGACATGGAATCATTGGAGCAGGTCCAGAGGAGGCCACGGAGCTGCTCCAAGGGCTGGAGTTGCTCTGCTCTGGAGCCAGGCTGGGAGAGCTGGGGGTGTTCCCTGGAGAAGAGAAGGATCCAGGGAGAGCTCAGAGCCCCTTCCAGTGCCTAAAGGGAATTATAGAAAAGAGGATGAACAACTTTTTACATGGGCAGGGAGTAACACGAAAACGGGAACAGATCTAAACGAGAAGAGGGGATATTTAGATTAGATCTTAGATAAAAATTATTCAGGGTGAGGGTGGGGAGGCCCTGGCACAGGCTGCCCTGAGAAGCTGTGGCTGCCCCTGGATCCTTGGAAGTGTCCAAGGCCAGGCTGGGCAGGGCTTGGAGCAACCTGGGATAGAGGAACTTGTCCCTGCCCATGGCAGGGAAGGAATGGGATGAACTTCAAGGTCCCTTCCAACCTAAACCATTGTGTGCTTCTGGATTCATCCTTCCCTGGAGATTTTTAAAAGTCATCTGGACACAACCCTGAGTAACCTGCTCTAGTGAAACCTCAGACTAGGTGACCTCCAGTGTCCCCCCCAACCCAAACCTGACTCTGACCTGAAGCCAAACTGCCCTTGCCAGAAGTTCAGCTGCAATCCTTCAGCCACTGCTCGTGGTGGCAGGGGGATTTCAGATGGGCCCTCTGCACGCCCGGATCACGCTGTGTGTGTGCCCATCCCAGCCTCTACAGGACGCAGGGACGCGCTTTCCCTGGGTACCACCCTGCCTTCCTCCCACCCTCCATCACCTCACGCCTGGCATCGCAGCCCAGAGGAAACACGGCTTTTAAGGAGCTCCAGCCTGGCAGATCCAGGAGGTGCCGTGGCGGCTCAGCCTCGCAGTTCCTTTCTTTCCCATCAGATCCCCCGGGAGTGTTTTAAGTGTTTTACTCTGCCTTCCCCGCTCCCCCCTGCGCCGCTTTGTTCCCCTTCCACCGCCCCGCGGCCGCGGGGGTTTGATCACCTGCGGCTCTTTAATCCCGATGTGCAGCTCCCTTCCACCTCCCGGACAGCAAAGAAAGAGAGGTTCCCTTTCAGCTTCTCCCCGTTTTGTCTCCGGGCCCTCAATACCCTCCCGGAGCCGCTCTGCCCCATCCCCTTGAGCATCCCGCCCGCACAAAGCTCTCTTTGTGCCGGCCTGGGCTCCGGCCAGCCCGGGCTGCAGGCTCAGCCTTATCTTTAGGCAGAGCCGGCTTTGCAGCTTCAGCAGAGCCACTCGAACGCTGTGCATCGTGCCAGGCACCCGAGGTCCTCCTGCAGCACTCCAAAAGTTCCCTGCCCCAGCCCCCACTGCCAAGAATTGCCCGATTTCCCAGGTTTTCACTCAAAGATGCTGAGGGGACAATGCTTCTGCTGCTGTGGTAGCCTGCCATCCCTAGTGGCACCAGCCAGAGCGTGTTGGGCTGCTTGGCCAGGATTTGGGAAGGCCAAGCTGGCCTGAGCTGGCTCCTGATTCCAGATCAGGATTCCTCAGGGGGTCACCCTGGTCTCCCGGAGTGATTGCCAAGGGGAGCAAGGGGAATGGCAGGGATCTCTGCCAATATGGGGTGTAAAGGTTTAGGGGGAATGGCAGGAATTCTGCCAATATGGAATGTAAATGTTCAGGGGGAATGGCAGGGATCTCTGCCAATATGGGATGTAAAGGTTTAGGGGGAATGGCAGGAATTCTGCCAATATGG